CCCCCCTTGGCGTCCAGGCCCCGCCCCCTTACCGGCACCCCTCTCCTTGCCTGAGCCCCGCCCCCCAGTGTCGTCCCGGCCCCCGTCTAGCCCCCCGGCCGCCCCCCGCCGGGCCTGGGCGCTCACGCCGTATCTCCCGCTCCAGTTCGCCGCTCATGCCGCCGCCGCCGCCGCCGCCGCTCTAAGCTCTCCCGCGCTGCCTCCGGGGCAGCCCTCGCCTCCCGTCCATTGGTCGCGCGCGGGGCAGCGCCGCATTCTCATAGGCGGGCGCCGCCGCCACTCAAAACCCGCCGGGCCAATCGCAATCGAGAAGGGAGGGAAACAACGCCCGTCCTCATTGGCTGGGGGAGATTCCAGCTGCAGGACTACGAGTCCCGGCATGCCGCGCATCCTCCCCGCCAGCACCCTCATAGGCCACTCAACCCTGCCGCGACCGACCCTTCTCCTTGCCCTCTAGCGGCGGCCGGAAGCGTCCCGGCATCCTGTGCGGCGCTGCCGGAAGCGGATGGAACACTGAAGTCCTGCGCTATGCTGCCCCGCGAGGTTTATTGGCGCTGTCGACGGTCCCGGTCACGTTTCTCCTGTTCGCTGCGACCCGGCCCGTGTTTCTCGTCCTGCCGGATTTACAGCCCCGACGCCCCGGGACCGCAGACCCCCCGGGCCTGACAGGCCAGCCGCGCCCAGGCGCTTGCCCGCCGAGAGCTTTTTTGCAGCGACTCAAACGACTGGATGACAAGAACGTCCCCTTGCTCCTGGGACCACCCGAAGCAACAGGACCACTCGCCCCGGCTCCCGCTCTGCTGCCCGTGCCCGACCGCTCCGAGGCGTCCCTGTCCTCGCCGATCCACTTGTGATAACAGTGACCTCTGCGGTGCCTTCCAGCGCCTGGTCTGAGGGGCTCCATTCAAGTAATCGAGTCCTACTGCAGTGAATCGAGTCTGCACGTTGCGCTGCAGGGTGCTGGGCTGGAGCCATCAAGCCACGCTGTAGTTTAGCAAATGATAAACCTCCGGAGCGATCGAGGGGTTTTGTGCATGTTGGGTTCACCCGCAACCACCGCGATGGATCCTGCAGGCCAACGTTTACCAAAGGACAGTGATACTGTCACCTTTGTCCAGACCTTGACCTTCAACCCATCGCAAAAAATAGGCTGTGAAGAAGCGGTATAAAGCAAGACAACTGCCAGCAAGGGGGGTGCAGTGTCCTGCTCCCAGGCGCAAGTGCAGGATCCTACAAGACCTGCTCCCTGCCTGCATGGGGTAAAGGTCTCTGTGCGGCTGCGATCATACGAGGGCTGACAACTCGCTTTGTATCAGGAAAGAGTCTTTTTCTGTAGTTTAGTTTTGTAGCTCTTTGGCAGTTGTTAAAACAAGACTTTCTGCTATTCGTCAACTGAGCGTTGTGTCAGTTCATAAAACACCAGGTTAAAAATTCGCTTTCTAAGTGCAACTGTGTCTCCCCCGGCTTCTCGGTGCAGCAGCACTTTGGGGGCTCGCTGTCCTGTCTGCTCCCCGAGACCATGCCGATGTTGCTCCCCTCGCTGGGCTTTACCCCATGTCCTCTGGCTCTTTACCTGCCGCTGCTGCTGGGCTTCTGTCTCCATCCCCGGTGCCCCTAGTTGAAAGCCGGATGAGGGTCCGGCTGCACTTCTCCCTGCACCTCGTGGGACGTCCTGTCACCCCATCTGGGCTCCAGCCAAGGTCTCCAGAGCAAGGCGGTGCAAGCCAGGGGCACCGGGGTGACCTGCATGGCTCCAAGCAGAGCTTGTGGGCAGCATCCACAGGCTCCTTCGCTGCCTCCACAGGGCAGTGTGCGCTGGCCAGCGCTTCCTCCTAGCCCCGGGTTCATCATTCGTGTTCTGTGCTCTAGTCCTTGCTCCCTCCGTTGCTGACTCGGATGCCTCAGTTGTGCCTGCCTCTCCCTCCAGAAATCCTTCCACCTTATAAGGCTTTGTCCATTTTAGTCACACCAACTTCCTGTGTTTCCCTCCCAGCTGCCAGGTCCCACGGTACCTTGAAGCCACCAGCTGTGGGTGGGGGACGCTGGCAGAATGCAACAGATCCAGGTGCACTGACAAAGATTTTCTTGGCCCATAGTTGATGGTTAACCAACCAGATCCGTGGATGCCGATTTGGTGACTGGTATCTAGTAAGAGTGCAAAGCAAGGCATTTTAACATAAATCTTTTTTGGGGGCGTTGTTTTTTGGGTTTGTTTTGCAAATCTTTCTTTTGACATAAATCTTTTTTTGGGTGTGTTTTGCATTTATAACACACACACACTTTTTTCCTGCAAAAATATTAACTATATATGTATATAACTCCACCTCCAACACTGCCAAGTGGCCAATTGGCAGTTCAAAGCACACTAAAATCCTGTTACACAGTTCACTCCGTGCACCCATCTCCATACCTATACGCACACCCACTTCCCTCCTCAGAGGGTCTACTCCTAAAAAAGTCGATGCCAGACCCCTCTCCACCAGATGAGTTCTGACATTTCTTTCCCATTGTTGTCTTCCTGTAGTACCAGTACATTTCACCGAGTCCCATTTTAATACAGTCCTCGACTGTGGGGTCCGAGTGTCTGTTTGTGAGCAGGTTCCTGACTTTGCACAGGGCAGACCTGGTTGAGGGTGCTGTCGCAGCCCCTTGCTGCTTGGTCAAGTGCCTGTAGAGAACCATTTCCCCTGTCAGGTCTCTGAACCCTGTCACCACCGGGAGGAGCACGTGGACTTTCCTTCACACCTCCGTGTCGTATGGGCAGTCCCAGACATTGGCGATGCCTAGGGGGTGCACGTGGGTGAACAAGCAGCCCCTGAGATTAGCCATGCATCCCCTGGAAGTGCCAGCCGTGAAACTGGAAGTGCCCTTCCATTTTCACTGGTGGTGGTTCCCCAAACTAGGGAGGCACCAGTTGCCCATGGTCCCAGAACAGGTGGTTGATCCTTTCTGTCTGTCTCAGGCAGTTCAATGGACCTCTCTGCCCTGCGCTGTCTCTCCATGGCCTCACGGAGGCAACAGGTCCTCAATCTTACCCAGAACTAAGCAGGTGCTCTTGCTCACATTGAGCTTGGCCCCTGCTGCCGCTCCATATACCTGCATGTGTTGTAGTGCTCTTTCCACTGACCCTTTGTCCCTGCACATGATGTCCAGGTCATCCATGTATGCGAGGACTTGTGTCTCCTCCCCATTCCTCCCAGGGATTTTCAGTCCCTTCATCCCTGGGTCCTGCCTGAGTCGTTGTGCTAATGGTCCTATTACACAAATAAACAGGATCAGGGCTCAACCACAATCGGGGCTATCAGGGACCTGTTCACCAAGACCCTGCTGCTCACACTGGTGCACAGTGCTTTAACCCAGGTAACAAAGGTTGCTGGGACTCGGATCTTTTCCAGCGTCTCTAGTAGGAAGTGATGGGATACCCAGCCGTAGGCCTTGTCCAAGTCGAGGTTCGGCACAGTCACGCTCTGTCCTCACTCCCACTAGTACTGGAGCGCGTCACGCTGCTGCATCAAGGCATCATGGATCTGTCGCCCCGGTAGTGCGCACGCCTGGTCCCCATGGATCACTGCACCTATAACAGACTTAAAGTGCTCAGCCAAGACTTTGGCCATTAGTTTATAATCAAAGTTCAGGAGTGTAATTGGGTGCCAGTCTCTCAAGTCCCACCTCTCCCGCTTCTTGTACAGAGCGGTTATGAGGCCTTCCTCCATCCCTGCTCCCAGGTGGCCTTCCTGCAAGCACTTCCTATAGACCTCCAGCAGGCCTGGGCCCGCCTGGTCCCAGAAAGCAACACAGAAGTCTTTGGGCAAGCCGTCTGTCCCCAAAGCCTTATTGTTCTAGACGCTGTGGAGTGCTGCATTTATCTCCTCCAGCCTCCAGTCCTTCACCAGCCTCTGTCCCTCATCCTTCCCGAGGACCCGTGTGAGCCTCTCAAGTCAGTCTTGCACTGCCCTGGGGTCCTCCAGTCGTGCCATGTAGAGCTCCCAGCAGAAAGCTGCTGTCGTCTCCAGCATCCCCTCGTTCAACCAGTGCTCCACTCCGGTTCTGTCTACCAGGCTGGTCATTGCTTCTTCTTGGTTTCCTTTATTTTGCTAAAATAAGCAGGCCACTCATCCCCTCCTCCACCCAGGACCTGTGCCTTTTTTGCCTGGATCCACCAGGCTGTGTTCGCAGATGAGCTGCTGTAGCAGCCTGGAGGATCTCTCTGGTCCTTTCATTTGGCCTCCACTTGTTCTGTCACCCACCTCAAGGATGCAGTTCATGTCCCCCGTGATTATCACTGACCAGCCACTGGGCACTGCTACCGTCATGTTCTTGAGGAAGGCATGTTTCGCTGTCTTATTTGCTGGTGCATATGCATTCAGAAGCTCAAAAGTCCTTTCTTTTGTTTCCAGGTTTTCTTCCATATACTTAAGATGTCTAAGATCATGGAAGAACAGATAAGAACGTCCAAAAACATATAAACACATTTTGTAACTTGGATGCTCTTGCATGTTCCTATGTTGTTAGATTGTTCGAAGAACATGGAAGAACCTTTGTTCTGAGAGCGTACAAGAACATAGAAAACTTTCTTGTATGTTCTCTCATGTTCTTATATGTCCTTAGACATTCTTACATGTTTTTAGACAGTCTGAGAACATATAAAACGTTCTCATTTGTTTTTCCGTATTCTTATATGTTCTTCAACATTCTTCGGGTGTGTGTAGATGACACGGGAGTTAATGTAGACTGTCCAACATTTTTTATTTGGCTTTTTTTTGGTGTGGTACATTTTTGTTTGCACGACACGGCGTTTGTATGTGCATGAACAGCACTTTCGTGCAAGTTAAGCCTCCGTGTGTCATTCCCTGCAGATTTCAGTAGGGGAGTCAAATACCAATTTACCCCCTAGAATGGAAGGCGGCGGCCCCTCCTGGCGAAGGGGATTAATTACAAGTCTTGGGAGTCTCTGGCTGTTTGCATGAACAGGATGCACAGTTGAAGCGGCGTAACAGGAAAGGGTCGCAAACAAAACATCTCTGAGTGGTGTTACTTTACGGCGCTAAATGGACTTTAAAGCAGAGGGAAATCCCGCCACCCCAAGCAACGGAGCCCCCCGCCCGCTCTGCCCCGGGCAGCAGTTTCCTCACACCTTGGGCCTGCTCCCGTGCCGACCCGGGCACAGACCCTGCCCCCCGCACCACGCCCATTGGC